ATGACCCGGCAGGGGGAATGGCCACGTTGAAAAACTGGGGCCTTTGGAACACGTCGGAGATTGACCATCCGACGACGACTGCAGGAACCTTCTCGAAGACGACCCGTCCCGAATGGAAGATGGTGGGAGAATCCCCCCACCAGCGACCCACATAGTGACATCAAGCCTGGGAACCACATTGACAACAATGCCTTACACCGTTATAGGAAGACAGACTAACTGAGGGTGCAGCAGCCGTTCAGGACACTACCTAGAACTGTAATCTGTGGGATCCACACTCCAGCCACTCCCACGCCTCAATGCAATGGAAGGAGTTGGAGACACCGACGTTCGACAGTGGTATTTATATGGGGGCTCGCGTCAGTGCAACTAATATCAGCAATAAGTTGAACAAATTAAAAAAAAAAAAAAAAAATGCCCCGACACTAGCGACCAGCTCACTAACCCCCCGCAAACCACTGAGCCTTACCCGATTTAATGCCCATGCTAACCACATAGACCCGTGAGGGCGCTGACGCGAGTCCCCAAGGAGTTAAGAGCTAACCTTATGCAATGCTAAATGTTATGTGTAATGCTTGATGGGTAATATTTGGAGCTAAACACATTGGCCTACCTAATAACTCCGTTGGACGGAAAATGTGTTTAACACACAATGTGATATTCCCAACAGGGGTGGATTGATGTTGATGTTGTGTATGGGAAGGTACCCCACAATGGGACGGTATTGTATCGGTTAACATCGCTCCAGATATCTGTACTACGCTAGCTGGGTCACCAATGCACATCACTACCGTTTAAAGACATATCCACATGCCAACAATGCACACACCACAGGTAGTTGAAGCGTCCTACATAGGCTGGGAGTGGGTACGAGCGATCCCGATATGCTATAGTTAAAGATGATTAAAACTAATGAGAGGTTACTAAAAATAACTAAAAGGTTAAGAAAAAAAAAAAAACACAACACAGTTCTGAGGTTGCGACCCAAATAACTTAGACCCTTTTTGCAACAATGCCTTCCCGTCCTACAGCGGACGATAATGGAAATGTTGTCCTGGCTCCCAAGTCCCCATGACGATTGCAGGTAACAGAGCAGACATATGACAAGTCTGGCCCGGGTGTGGTATAGTTCCGCACGACCCCCCTATAGGACCTACAATCGTGGAGCATAAAGACTCCACATTGTACTCCAACGTACACTCTCAAGGTCGAGAGTCATTGTATATACTTATGTTTTTAGTTTTCCGTTTCCCCTGTTTAATACCTGCCACCCCCCTATCCAATACTATGGCAGCAGAGAAAAATTTTGCATACACAAAACTCCATCAACCATTAAGGCACATCCGGGTACCCAATAGAGTGAAAGCGTCCGAGAGGTCAGTACTTGTGCGCATTCCGTATCAAGATGAGAGAAAGCAACATCCCCCATATTATTAATGACATACCAATTTAAATGCTTTTCTATGAACGTAAATGGCCTAAACAGTCCCTTCAAAAGAAGCTCGGTGATCAGGGCAATGCACAAATCACAGGCAGCTATAGTGTGTCTCCAAGAAACACATATGTGTAAGAACAATCCCCCTACCCTAACATCTTCTAAATACCATCAAGTGTATCATGCTCTTTCCCCAACCAAAACAAAAGGAGTGGCAATACTGTTCCACGTAGATTGGGTATTCCAACTCACCAATACATACATAGACGAGCTAGGCAGACTCCTAGTTGTGGTGGGCTCAATGAATGGCATGCAATTGACGATAGCATCCATATGCGCACCCAATAACTCCCAAACTACATTCATAAAACGAGCGTTACACAAAATATTTAGCCTCCGGGAGGGTCACACCATAATTTGTGGGGATCTAAACTGTACACTAGACCCCCAACTTAGACATCAAACGTATAGAAGGCAAACAACCGCTCCAGCATGCTAGCATTATGAGCCTCACTCTCAGTAAACTGCTCCACACGAACGACCTGTATGACACATGGCGTTCACTCTACCCGAAAGAGAAAAATTACACCTACTTCTCACAGGTACACCACACATACTCGCGCATAGACATGTGCTGGGTAGATAAAAGCACAATCCCGAATGTTATAGAAGTACAAATAGGTGACAGAACTTGGTCTGACCATGCACCAGTAACTACTATGTTCAGGGCCTTATACCCAGCTCGAGGACGGAGTGCGTGGCGTCTGAATGAATCCCTCATAGACGATACTGACACGGCCACCAAAATACGTAGGAACATACAAACGTTTTATGAAAATCATCAGACAGATCCTTCCCGCATAGACACCAAATGGTTGGCCCTCAAAGCTGTACTCAGAGGCCTCTTAATACAAGCTGGGTCAATACGCAAACGGAAAGCTTATAACGAAAATGATACACTACTTGCATTGCTCCAGACACTAAAAAGGGCCAAGAAAGTAAGACCATCTAGAATATTGTCCCAACAGATTGAACAGACAAGAGGGAGGTTACATGCACTGTCTCTAACCACTATGGAACGGCAACTACGCAAACTAAAACTGACATACTATATGCAAGGAAATAAAGCAGGCAAGGTGCTAGCAAATCGTCTAAAATCGCGATATATACAAACAAAACTTCCATACATGACCACGGCCACGGGTACAAAATTATTTATCCTGCAGGACATAGTGGACGAATTAGCGAACTTCTACAAAGGCCTGTATAACCTCACACAAGATAAATCACTACACCAACCACTAGAATCTGAAATAGACACCTTTCTGGGTGAGGCAAATTTGCCACGTCTGTCTGTACATCAAAGACAGACATTGTTAGCTAAGTTCACGGAAGACGAAGTGCGCCAAGCAATACTCAAACTACCCAAACACAAAGCCCCGGGTCCAGATGGGTTTTCCAACCGCTTTTATCACATATTCGAAACACAACTCACACCACACCTCACGAACCTCTTCAACTTCTTTAGGGACTCAGGCTCCATGCCGGAAGAGATGTTGTTAGCCCATATTGTTACACTCCCTAAGCCAGGCAAACCTCCTACGGAATGCGCCAACCTACGGCCTATTTCGCTGCTGAATGCTGACACAAAATTGTATGCCAAACTACTAGCCACACGCATCCAACCCATTTTACAAGATCTGGTCTCCCCGGAGCAGGCAGGCTTTGTTCCGAATAGGCAACCTGGGGACAACACGCGCCACTTTTTAAACTTAATTACTTGGGCCCAAAACACTAACCAGAAGGGCTTACTATTAGCCCTAGACGCGGAAAAAGCGTTTGATCGCTTGAATTGGACATACATGCGGTCTGTACTGACTTACATGGGCTTCCCACCAGAATTCCTGAAATGCATAATGGTCTTATACTCCAAGCCATCAGCCAAAATATTCAATTCCAGATTCCTGTCACAACTATTTCATACAACAAACGGTACCAGACAGGGGTGCCCGCTCTCTCCTCTAATCTTTATCCTATGTATGGAACCCCTAATCAGACATATTAAAACCGACCACAATATTGCGGGCCTATCAACACCAATAGGGGAGCAAAAAATAGCCCTTTTCGCAGACGATGTTCTCCTTTTCATAACACACCCGGAGGCATCTCTATCAAACTTGCTAACACTATTAGGAAGATATGGTAAGATGTCTTACTACAAGAATAATGCCAAAAAAACACAAGCGTTGGCGCTAGGGCTGCCCCACATCCTTCTCTCACACCTTAAAACAATGTACCCGTTTGACTGGAGGAAATCCTCCATCTCGTACCTGGGCATAAAAATGCCAGCTTCACACACAATGACAATACGGGAAAACCATACGCCGCTCTTACATAGACTAGATCAACAGCTCAAATCCTGGGAGGACAAAGAAATCTCCTGGCTTGGTCGCATCCATACCATAAAAATGAGGATTTTACCACATATTCTATATCTCTTTCGCACCCTGCCCATTACAATCCCGAACCCGATACTGAGAAACTTTCAGGCCAAGATCAATGCACACATTTGGAAGCGTAAACCCCCACGAATAGCACAAAACTCACTTTGGCGTTCATTCACAAAAGGCGGGATGGGCATACCCAACATAAAACTATACCACAAAGCTTCAATATTGGCACAAGGCCTCACGATCCTTGAGAGGAAGTCCCCTCCGGTATGGATGGCATTGGAAAACGCATATCTGTCCACTGGCACGATTCCAATGCTCCTCTGGGCAAGCACAACACCATTACAACCCAAAAACCTGCTACCAACCACGGGGACATTGCTCCAGACCTGGAGGCAAACTACCCCTCTATTCCTCAGAGAGAATGACCTACTCCTTGAGGCACCGCTTCAGGCCTTGGCTGCCCGTACGACGAACCTACAGCTAGAAAACTGGCTCAGCCGGGGGATCTCAGGGGTACGTTCCTTGATGACCCAAGAGGGCATCAAACCATTCCCCGACATGGTCAGGGAATTTCGTATCCCATCCAGGGAACTATTCACCTATCTCAGACTAAAGAATATCATACAGGAAAGCAGGATTATCTTCAAAGATTCTAATCTCATATCACCATTCATACATAAATGTAAGGGGAAGCTTCCCAAGGTTAAAGCACTATCCCTCTGCTACAATACACTTCTTACCCAATATACGGCAACAAAACCCTCCTACATGACAAATTGGGAAATGGACCTGGGAATGCAATTCCCAGTAGCCATGTGGCATCGGGCTCAGAAGCTAACAAAGCAGGCCTCACATAGCCTCAATCAGTGGGAAACGTACTGCAAACTAACCATGCGCTGGTACCTGGTCCCCAACAAATTGGCCCACATATACCCAGGAGCGAACAAACTTTGTTGGAGATGCCACAATCAAGAGGGGTCCCTTTACCATATATTTTGGACATGTACACAGATCACATCATTATGGCAAGACATCCACACACTTTTTTGCAAAAACCTAGGGATCGGGGTCCCTCCGACACCAGAATGTTTTTTTATTACACATCTTCCCAGACAACCTCCACGAAGAGGAAAGCTATTTAATGATCCACTGCCTAATGGCAACTAAAACTGCGATTGCCCAAAAGTGGAAATCCACACAGGCTCCCACGTTACCAGAGATTTTAGGTAGACTAGATTCGATATATAATTACGAGCGCATGGCGAGTCGTATCACTGAGAGGCAGCGTAGACATGAAACAAGGTGGCGCATATGGGTGGATTATAGGTATGGTAAGATGTAAAAGAGACTACGAACTACATAATACTTTACCAGGGCTCCTATGTAAAGAGGGCTACCCAATGTAACATCTTTTAACTGATCATTTTATTTTATTTTTTCTCTTTAACAACAACACAATACAATACAATATTTAATGCCATAGCACAGCTTCGCTAATCCCCCACCAATCTCTTCCCCCCGCCCCAGCGGCCTCAACAGTTAGGGCGCACGGAAACAAATTAGTGCCTTAGAACATTTCAGGCAAACTTGTATATAACTACCAATGTATGTAATATATTCGGAAGCTGGGGACTTGTGACTTGTGACTAATATCTAATTCTATGTACAGCTGTTAAAAATACTTTTGTAAGAATATGATACATTGTATATGCATTGTCGCCCTCCCCCCCCCTTTTCTCTCCGTGTACCCCCTCCTGAGTTATTCCCCTTTTATAATATGCATGACCAATGAAAATTGAAAAATAAAATACATTGGAAAAAAAATAATAAAAAACGTAATCTGTTACTTTATTTGTTACCATGCAGCCAATGCTACTTCACAAAACATTGGATTGGATCTGGCAAGTTCCTTGAGACTGTTAGGCCAACCACATCATAGCAACTTTTAATTGTAGGAAGAAATCCACTGAATCCAACCATATCAAAAAGAATATAAACGAGAGCAGATGGAGAAAAGGTACAGCCACAAAATTACTGTTCTCTAAGGGTATTAATAACCTTTAAATGACCCAAAAGCTATTCTTCTGGCTATGAGTTTGATATTCCTTATTATATTGCACACCGTTGCCACGGGTACAGAATACCTAGTACCCATATATAATTCAAAACAGCATTGCTTCAGAATCCATTTTCTGGCTTCTAATTCCATAAAGAGACTATAGCTATGTCTGATTATAATGTATTACATGCACTACATCCAAAACTTGTCCGTAGTGGAATTTCCTGACCAGAGGGACTTGAGAGATGGAGAAACTGTATCTTCTTTTGATCTTATCAGTTATGCAGCACATCTAAGCAAAGGACACGGTAAGACTTACATGTGCTGTAACAATTTACAAATGACGGTGCAGTATTAGTGTTGGACGTGATTAGCAGCTATATTTGGGTTCTGTAGCTCTATAAACACTGCGTTTGTAATAAGCAGAATGATTTCTTTGTACATTTCTGCACTGTACGGTATTTCTACATGAATTTTCGCTGACAGCTTAACCACCAGGCCAGGCAGAGAACAAGCCTATTTCAATAAAGGAAAAATACATGCAGATAAAACTTCTAATATAATTATTCCTTATTCATCTGCCTCCTACATGCTGTCAGTATGCAAGAAGGTAATTTAATAAAGAGAAGAAAGCATTGTAAATTCTGCCGGTAACCGCATTAATAGCTTACTGACACCATTTTATGGACAAAAAAAATTCAGTGATGGACTGTTCCTGGACCTTTTCAATACCAGGACATAATCTGTGTGTTAAAAAAAAAAGGACGAAGAAAGCCAAGAGGGTTTCACTCATTTATTATCAAGCATAATCTGGGTGGGGGTGCGAGGGATAAATAAATACGTTAATTAATTAAAAATTTGACATGGTGTGTTTTGATGTCATGAAAATTAATCTGTAAAATTGATTTACTTTTTTTAATTGACACAGCTGTGAACATTGATTGCTCCAAGTATCAAAAAATAAATAAAAAATTAAGTACATATATATTTTTAATGATGTAGTATTCTGTTGAAGAATGATAGGCGTATATATTTTTTCTAAAATTACACAGTAATTATTTTGGGAAGTTTCTGTATAACTTGTAGAGGGCAAATATCACTTTTGGCCTCTACAGTATTTTTGGAAGAATAACCAAATTACCTCAGATACACTATTAAAGGGAGCCTGTTGTGACATCTTAGCTTCAAGTGTTAAAATATCTTTAAAAAATATACAATTTATCATAAATATGAATTAAAATATTTTAATGCTCTAATACTTTTTCTTTTTCTAGTGGCCCATTGTCAAGGTCACTAGAAAATCCAGATTTGTGTGTTTTGCACTAGTGTAACACTCAACCTATATGCCCTTCTTCCACTTAACCTTGGCACTACTTGGACAGTGCAGTAATTACAAAAACAAGAATCAGTGGTGGAACTAATGTAGAGAGGGCCCTGGTGCAAGAAAGTTTTTTGAGCCCCTAGTGCAAAAGTGACCGAATGGTAGATCTCCATCTGCCGTACAACTCTAATGATGCTGTTCCAGCTGGGATCTACCATTTCCCTCACTTCCAGGGTTGTATTCGTAAGCAGTGTTTGTGCATTTGAATGTATGCATGTTTTTATATAGAGTATATGGGTGTGTGTAGGGGTGTATTTTTATGTACTGGTGCCATTGGAATGCACCGGTGTACTTGTGTGTAGTGTTTGCGTTTGAAGCAAGGGTGTGTTTGTATGTAGCATTGGCTTTTAAATGAAGGTGTGTGGAAATCATTTCTAAATTCACCTTGGAATTCAAACTTTAAACTTAAAGTTTATCTGACTTTATTTAATTTTAAATTCACTTTGTATTCTTACATTAATGAATAACCCTATAATTGATTAAAATATTTTCATTACCAGACCAAACATAAATGCATATTTTATTTTCACTAATTTTGTTCAATTTCATTATCCAATAGCCTCTACAGATGTAATACATAATTCTTTTACAAAACTTTGAAAGAATGGAATGTTTGGCAAAACTCTGTGGCAGACTTGATGATCTCTCTTCCTGACTGCATCCTTTGTAATTTAACCCAATCTAGAAAAGTTGTAGCTTACCAATGAATCAAAGGGACTTTAAAACAAAGTGAATCAGCATAAAAAGTATTGTATTGTTGAGAAAAGATGCCGAACTTTAATAGCGCTGACTTACTCAATATCTGATGGATAAAATCAGACATATTGAAAAAGAATTAGACCCAATTAATGACTGTGGAACTGAGATACACTGTACGTAAACTCACTTTCTAAGATCCTCGGGACATATTGAAAGACTACACAGAGCTATTGATTTCCAGTCCTATTCTCTATGGTTGGCTAGCCTTTCTTTTTGCTAAAGTTTAAGAATAATAGACAGGTACCTGACGTTCAACTTAGCCTTGAAAAATGGCAGGTAAAGTCTAACATTTTATTAGTGTTAAAGAATGTTAATGATCTTATCTAAATCAAGGATGTGTGACCTGATCCATTCTAACAGTTATTGGTCAACAGCACCGAGCATCGTTAGTCAGTCTTGAACAGCTATAAAATGAGATACTCTTGAAACCTTTTTGACTATTTATAGATTTAGTCTGACGCAGAATCAAGTTATACACATAGATTAACCATTAAACTGCAATGATACCTTGCCATCAAAATAATACGGCAAACAATAAAATACGCAGCTACAGTTTCCTGTAGTCCATCTGCTACCTAACGTGTGTGGAAAGGGGCCAAAATGATGCACGTCTTACTGATGGATGAAAGTCATATTAGCTCACAGTGGGGTATGTGGTACATTGTGTATTATATTAAGATTTATTGGTTTGGGCGAGAAAGAACATTTCATTAGTCAAACTGTAGTTGGCGACATTGGCATGGTGATATGAAAACTCCTACTTGTTCAGCACAGGCATATTTAGTCACCATCGTGTGAAGAAGCTGCAACATTCACCAAATGCCAATCAAAGACACAGCTCACTCAGCGTCACCTTACAGATACTGCAGCCTTCAGCAAATAGAAAGTGGCCCACTGCCACCATGATATCTATCACTTATCTTAGTTCCACCTGATGATAATTATTGTCAAATATATTAAGGGTACACTCCGGACACATAATGCACTTCAGCTTTATACACTTTTTGACAGTTTGTAAAAGTGCCAATTTAAAAAGTCACTTTGATAACTGAGAGCAGAAACATTTCCCTGCATGTTTTCTTCCACGTCTGTTAGTCCCATAGAGCAAACGGAAGTGGTTGAAATGCCGGTCATTGAGAAGCATTAGAGATCTGCAACCACGTGCCGGCGCTCTCGCAGCTTCTGCACAGAGGTTTCTCTAGAAGACGCTTCTGTCAACCAATTTGGATTGCATATACTGAAAGTCTGTCGGGGGCATTTTTCATATACCCCAAGGAAAACATGTTGGAATAAAATATATATACATGTTTTCTTTATGGGTATATCACTAAATAGTTTAAAAAATAAATAAATAGAGTGTTCATTTTTATAATTTATCCTTTATAAGGGTGCTATAGGAAATGTTATAAACATTATTAAAAAAAGCACGTAGATAAATAAAATAAACAAGCAAGATGCTGCATAACGCTGTAGGTTTTGTATTTGCCAGCAGAAGATAAAGCCATAGAACCATAGAATGTAATTGTTCCTTAAGGGGTTAAGATAAAAACTGAGCTTCTTCTTGGTTAAATAATAAAAAATATTTCATAAAGTACAAATAAATGCACCCTGAATCCAATAATCTAGCACTAATTCCATCTTCCATTTCCTTCAAAAGATATTTCTATTTCCTTCCATAGCAATATTAGGACCCCTAGTTCTCACTTCTCCTCAGTCCCATTTCCCACCTTTCACAAGGATGTTCAAGCCAATAATAGGTGTCACAGTCACTTACCAGCCATTGGTTCTAGTTATTTTTGCTGATATCAGCAATGAACTACGAGCAATGGAACACGTAGCAAGCTAACTTTTTTTTAACTTGCATAAGAACTCCTGAGCAATCCTGTTTTATTTCGAAGATAGCTTAATGAATGTTATTAATTCTATGTAAGATGTCTCTTTGCACGCAGCATATATTTCAGACTAATATCTTGCATAAATATACGAATGCAAAATTGCTCATTTCTGAGAAATATCATGTTTCCATCTGCTACATGTGTGCTATGTTTCACAGTAAATCTACAATTCATCAGCCTGCTAGATAAAAGTAGCAATACCTTTTTTATTATTATATGATAGTAATGAAGTAGTGCTTGGATTAATT